TTTCTTTACACGGCTATCCTGGGATTTCTCATGGCATGAAGTCTCTTAGATCAGATTTCTTACAGGGCAGCTGGCTCGCCCCAGAGCAAGCATTTCAAGATATAGGAAGTGGAAATAGTAAGTCTTTAAGTGCCCATCCTACAAATTGTCACAAATTTGGCACAAGTGCCATATTTGTCAGAGTAGTTGCAGAGTCCTCTCAGATTCAAGTAGAGGTAACACAGATTTTACCTCTCAATAGGAGGAATGTCAAAGAATTGTAGCCACCTCTAATCTGCACCTGTATTAACATTACTTGCGGCCTATTTAGTGTCAACATTTCATGCCTTCTTAGTAGTTGAAAACCTCTATGCAATTTAGCTATATCGGCCCTAGAGTATCCACACTGAGACGCACACACAAAAAAAGTTCTTTGCATAATTTGCTTTCTAATCAATACAGAGTTTCAGTTTGTGAAAAAAAGTTCAAACTATTCCCTTTCACCTGTTACTTGGTGTGCGGCTGTATGCACTGTCACTACCTAATAGTCAAACACCAATCCAGAGGAGAGGATGTAGGAGAAGAATCATTTATTCTTCAATAAAATCTATAGAGAATACATATCTCTACATTTATAACACATGAAACAGGACTTTGAGAGAACTGGGTCACATATGTTTCTGTCAGCAGAGTGTAAAAATTAGAGGTCATTCAGGTTCCAGGGAAAAAAACGACCAGGGTAGACCAGCTTCTTCCTAAACCTTAGCTAAAAATAGCAACACAAGGGGCGCCTGGGTGGCTCAGTCTTTAAGGGTCTGCCTTTGGCTCAGGTCATGATCCCAGGGTCCTGGGCTCGGTCGGGCTCCCTGTTCAGCAGGAAGCCTGCTTCTCCCTCTCCCCCTCCCTCTGCTTGTGCTCCCTCTCTCGCTGTCTCTCTCTCTGTCGAATAAATAAAATCTTTAAAAAATAAAAATAAAAATAGCAACACAATTAAGTAATGGGACTTTGAGTTTTGGGATTGTGGCAACGAAGATACCGTTATCTTTCTGCCAATATCACACCACCCCATTTATTGTCCTTTCATTTAGCTAATTTACTCCAGGCCTGATAGTGAGCTGGCAACTGAGTCAAATAAGTGGAAATTGAAACAAGGGAAATTTTAATTTTGGTTCAATTTCACAAATTTAGACAGTCGATATAAACAAGAAGTTCTTAGAAATAAATGGAGATGTCAGTTCTGTCAAATAACCTGAAAACCATTAGTTTAAAAAGGAAACAAAACCAAAAATTTGCCAAGAAGCATAAAGTAGAGCCTCTCAAAAAATCATGCAGATGGTCAAGGTGAAGGGCTGTGTAGGCTGGTATCATAAATCAAACATGTTGTATAAGTGCTAATATAGCTAGATAATTATTTTAGCTTGAAACATTTCTTGATCAGGGCATATAGTTTTATCCTAAATTCCACTGGTTGTTCTATTTTTACCCTATTGAAATCATAGGGTTACAAAGTATGGTGGTCAGCATCTAAAAGCAATAAAAAATCAACTTCCAAATACATAAATTAATTTAGATACTATAAAGTATATTCATACAATACAAACACTTCTTAACACTTCTTCCTTCTATGTCCTGTCCATTTCCCCATATTCCACTGTTACTTCCATATCCCTGCTTCCAAAAGTCTCCATAAATGCCTCCCTGAACCCTATACCGTGTACCTCTCATCTTTTTTACCTTTACTGCTTTTCCTCTTCTCAAGTTTAATTTTTCATCATAATCCATTATGAAGAAAAGAACCAATCCGGCAACTGACAAAATCTTCTTTAGAGGGTTCCAATCTCCCCTTCTCCCCAGGTTGGATTTCCGAGTGGGATCTAAACTAAGAAGTGGGGTGGAGTGGTCACTATTCAGAGATAGAGGAGACAGAATTATGAGAAGAGAGTTGAGCACACTGTGCCCTTTCTCACTTCTGAGATTAAGCTCTGTGAATGAACAAAATAAAATATGTGTAGTTAGATGTAGCTATAAAGGGAGGGAAGTAAACAAAATATATGCAGTTGTGTTACAGAAGATTGTCTCAGAGGGAACTTGCTTCCACTCATCTAGAGAGGTCTGAAGGTGTCAGGCTCACAGAAGCATGCCAGACAAAATAATGTATATCCTATTTCTTGGCAGCTTGTCCAATACAGTAGCTCAGATATTTAATTTTTGTTGAGAAATTAGTTTTTATGATTAGACTAAAATATATCAGGGTGAGTTTGTTAGATCTTGACCTTATGCTTCTGTTTTCTGCCATGATGTCATTTAAAAATGCATGAACAGTGTGTAGTAAACAAAATTCTGCTGTTAACAGTCGGTTAAACCTGAAAGACAACCAACAGTAGATTATCTCTGGTCCTGATATTTCCACATCCAACATAACCAACGTTTTTCTATTACAAGTATTATACAAGACAATTACTAATAAGGCAAGATGATCTGGGTCGCTAGCAACTCAGGATAGCTAGGAAAGATAGCTCTTGGTCTTAGGAGGGCCACAGGCAACATATCTGTTGCTGTTCTCCCTGCTGTTGACTTGGGGTATCATCCAGTTGTGGTCTGGTCCATGTACAGGGCTTTCAGATGCAGGGGGCCTCTAGGCCTAAGATGCCAAAGGAAAATGTTAATGAGATTTTACATACTAAATTTCTGTTTTCAAGAAAGTTGATAAATAATATGTAAAAGTGTCAATGCTTATCATCACCATGAGAACGTTAGTGATATTGCTATGAAAACCAGAAGACATAGACCCACAGAAGAATCATCAGCATCTGTTGCAAAGGTTAGTAGTTATTTTAAGAGGACTGTATGGAGGGATAAGAAATTAACCCATGGCTGCAGAAAGTACATGTACATATAACACTGTGAAACAGAAGTTTTCTTTTAGAATAAATTACAATTCATATAATTAGTTTTTCTTCTTTTTAATCCCAAGTTTTTCAGTGCATGTATGTTCTGTCATGATGGCTTTTACATAAGGCCAGCTTTTATCATTTTTAGCTAATACTTCATATAGTAAATCAATTAAATAACTTACAAGGTTTTTACATTTTTCTGTTCCGTTCATGGAACCAAACTGAAGCTTGAAAATTCATTTTTTGAAAGTAAAATATCTGTTAGTACTGTAAATATCATTTACTAGTACTTAAAGGATTATATTTAAAACTATTCACAGTTTAACAGGAATGTAAATTGGATAGAGTCTAATCATAGTAAAAAATAAATTCTTATTAAATTAAGAAAACTATGGAATAGCTATAACCTTGAACTTGTCTGTGTTGTACACATAATTCATAAATCCAAACTGCAACTGAAATATAAACTGTAATAATGAAAATTCATAAAATTCTTATATATATGTTTGATGATTAAACTATAATTTTTTTTGTGCTGAAACTAGAATTGAGTACCAACAACAACAAAAAAAGATTCTCAAACATAACAGCACGTGTTTTCTTTGTTGCTCCTAAATAAAACTGTGCAAGTATTTGTTTTTTAAAAAATACACTTTGTAAATAAATTTAAATGGTCTACAAAGGTACTGAACTTTTTATAAACAAAATTTATAAAATTTTGTTGCACTATGTTAAAAATCATTTAGAAATTTTTAATCAAACAATTCAAAAAATTTATGCTGATAAAATTCAGATTTTGAGGCTTTTGCAGATTATAGTTACTGAAAACAAAAGCCCACAACACAGAAAGACATTTAAATTTACCCCTACAAAATCAAGGAATAACCTTAACAAATTCAACTGGATTTTAAATGATGTATAATATAAGACTTAACCTTGGAATTCTGCAATTATAGCTTGGAATATTTTAACCCATATGAGAATTTTTTGATGTATCTCCCATTATAATTGAATAAATTTACAGTTTTAGAGAAATAAAATTAAATTTAAAAGGCTTTCTAATTTGCATCATCTAAATTTGACAAAACCTTCAAAAGAATCATAAATAACAGAAAACTTATTTGATGAAGGTCATGTCAAATATTTGCTGAAGACTGGTGCTCTGAATAGAGGCAAAAAAAGATAGTACTTGTGAAAATATTTGGGCTGAAAAATTTATACTTCAATATGAAAAAACGGGATATTTTCTGTTTAGTGTAATTTCTTAGCTTATTTTCTTTAATATAAAATAGAATCTACAGTGAAGAGCAAATTGAAGGTGTCAAAATTTCCCATATATCAAACATAAAATACATATTTGAGAAAACAACTAAAAAATTAAAAACAATAAATCCATATTAAAAATGTAGCTTTCAGGAAAGTATTAGTGACCCAGTATTATAGACAAATAAGGCTGAAACTCTAAAATACATTAATATGTGCCACGAATTACCATTCCGTTATTTTTAGTGTTCATATTATCAACATAAAGACATTTTTAAAGTTTTTGCTTGAATGCAGTTATTTTAATTTTTAGAAGTAATCTCACTTTATGAAATGAATTTTGAATTATACTTTTTATAAGTCCACCAATATAAAGTTTATAATCGTAATTAATTTATATTCTTTTATTTTCAAGTGGCCTGGTTTGGACAATATCTTATACGGTTACCATATAATATATTGTCCACACATGGTTGGCATGTTTAGGGGTGAGATACACTACAAAAGACTTGTAGCTCGATTTGCGGTTACAGGCAACTCCCAAGTTCCCTTGTGACCAACTGGGAATGAAGATGTAACTGAAAGAGCCAGTGAGCTTGCCAAAAGATTAGTGTGACACGGAAGTTAAAGGTCTCTACATGAAAAATTGGATTACATTGAGGAGCGGGAACACTTAATTCCCAAAGCAGTTTCCTCCACTATGGAGGGACATATATAAGAACAACACGCCTAATGATTCTGTCTCTTCCTGTGGTGGTGGTGGCAATCAGTGATCTGATTGGTCAATTTGGAAAGCGGGCATTAGCTTTGTGACCCGCCCTTTCCTTTTCTCTTAGGGAGGAGGGGCTCAGAGGAAGTACCCTCTTAGCTCCGCCCCTCCGGGCTGTACTGTTGTTAGGTGATTTACCTCTGCGCCATCTTGCGTGCGTGCTGTGGCGTCGGTGCCGTCTGTGGCGTCGTTGGTAAGTCTAAGGCTGCGGTTCAGAGTCGGTAAAGCTGCAACATATAAGGCTTGGTCTTCAGTATATTATTTAGCAGTTATAAAGGAATATTTTGGTTTCCCTGCCGCTTTGCTCTTAGTTCTCTCAGGGTAAAAGAGACATTACGAATCGGAATCTCCTCGCACCCCAACATCCAGGATATAGAGTGGGAGTAAAGAGAAAATGAAAAAGGAATTCTGTGTTGTAGGGTGTGGAGAAAGCTTCGGGCATGCTTCTGGCATGGCTAAAGTGGGAGGTGTTAAACTTTGATGATATTGGACGAGGCACTAACCACGTATTTTCGGTGGTAGTGGATTGTTAACAGTTTATGGCAGTTTTTCCACGGGAGAGTGGCTGGCTTTATAAAAGTAAACACCATGCTTTCGGCAGTAAGCAAAGGCAGGCAACCTTTGAGGGACTCAGGAAGCAAAATTTGGGAGTGATGAGACATCCTCACTAAAGCATCCTAGTAAGACAGTTCCTACTGCTTGACCTTAAACTCTGAATACGTAATTTTTTTCTACGTAGCCTTGTCTGAGACAAAGTTTAGGTTATAAAGCAAGTGTTTTCATGTACCAGCCTTTTTTAGGTGTCGGTGTTCCTACTATATCCAGCCGTGCCTGCTGGAAGTATTTAGCGCCAGGCCTCGGCTGGTGGCGTAGAAAGTCTTCTCAGATTATGATCCACTCTTAGGTTGTTTTGACCCCCTTTCAGAGTCAAGGGAAGGAATGTTGGAAGGACAAATCTAGGGGTCATATGACTTGTCTGTAGGTTTAAAAGTTGCTCTTACCTTTTGATTGCGGGTGGCTCTGAATTTGATAATTCCATATTGTCAATGACTTTTGATTGCTGAGATTCAAACTCATAGTAGGAGGTTGATGGCTATCAAATTAAAGAATTGGGGCCCTTTCTGTAAAGAGCGTATACCTTCTCCTTAAATTGGGGATGAAAAACAACTTAATAAAATATTGCAAAAACAGTGGCTTAGAAAGCAGACAAAAAAGGGCTTGTTCTTGGAATGCTTTGGCTCTAATAATTCATCTTGCTTTGGAGTTTAAGGTGTTAGGGTAGTTTAAAACTTGTGCTTCAGGTTAATAGAGAGTTATGGAAGAATGGAAACAAAACAATTTGCTGGAGGAAAATAAAACTTTTTTTTTTAGAAACTAGAGAAACGGGACGAATGTGACAAAGGTGACAGAAAATAATTTGAAGTTCAAGTAGACATCTGTGAAAGGGAAATGGAGATATAAAGGGATCTAAATTCTCTTCAGCAGAGTACTGGAAAAGGGAAAGGTGTTCAGTTATTAGACTGAAATAAGGGCCTAGGTGTAAAAGTAATCAAAAAGAGAAAGAGGCAGGATATCAAATGGAATAATTCCTTCAGAAAGAGTCAGGAAACAGGAAACTATTGAGAGGTCACAGATAAGGGGGGTTATAAAAGGCATTAGAACAGCATCTTAGAGATTGGGAAAGACTAAGAAGACCTGTAGAATACACAAAGTATCATTAGGTGATTTTTTAAAAAGATTTATTTATTTTAGAGAGAGAGTGCTTGCAAGCCAGTCAGGGTGTGAGGGGATAGGGGCCGAGGGAGAGGGGTAGAATCCTCAAGCAGACTCTCGGCTGAGCATGGAGCCTGCGAGGCGGCTTGATTCCGTGACCCTGAGGTCATTACCTGAGCTGAAGTCAGGAGTTGGGTGCTTAACAGACTGAGCCACCCAGGAGCCCCTCATCAGGTGATTTTTAAGGTAATACAGTAATTGTAGGTTTTTATAGAAGTATAGTTTGTGCTTAGAGGGAGCATGCCCAAGAATTAGGACTCAAGATTCGGCAAGATGGGGCATATTGAAAAGAGCCAGGCAAGAGGATAACTTAGGTCCAAGCTTGGATGGGCTTAATACTAGTCTGATGGGAGAAAAGTTCCTGTGTGGAATTATGCATCCCAGGGGAATGGAGGAGAAAAAGAACTTTTTTTTTTTAAAGAGTAGATGCTTTAGTAAACTCAGAATTGAGTGATTTCGTTACTGTTGATGGAGATGATTCTGGAATTTAAGAAATAGAGGATTATTTTAGGAAAAAAACCTAATGTCTAAAAGAGATAGACAGGAAGGCAAGTACTCATTTCTAGCAATCAGCAATAATCCTACATGTTTTGGAGAAGAGACCAAATTAATAGCGGGTTAAGCAGTTAGAAACTTAACTTTCTAAACAGAGTAAATAGTTAAAAAATGAAAACTTTCTGAAAAGTATAGAAGAGAATAGAAGAAAATAAAAACTAGAGGCAGATTTCATTGCTGCAGAAAAATATGTAGCAGAAAAAAATGCTATTCAAGGTCTGAACAATTCAATGATGAAAGACAGTGCCTAGAGGAGCACATGAAAAGGTATTGGTTCTTATTGGGCCTCTAGGGACTCAGGCTTCAGAAACATCAATTGCAGCTTCAGTTCAGGAATCGGTTGAGAGTGATTTGCCAGCCGAAACAAATGGGATAAGCGAGAAACCCTCTCTTAAGAGGCAGGCTTCACTAGCTTTGCAATTCCATAACAAGAGATGGTGGAAAGAGCCACTTGTGGTATAGGATTGAAAATATCTGCTTCCTGAAGATAGTAGCCCCTGTTTCGTAAGATAGAGTCCACTTCCAGCAGTACCAGAGTGCCAGAAACTGGGGGTTAAAGGAAGGAATGGAGATGAAGAGGTTTTTAAAATACGTTGCGGAGGAAAATATTGGACTGCAAATAAAATTTGGTGATTCTGGTTGCAAGCTTTTAAACTTTTCTGGAAGGCAGGAATGTCTCAAGTGTCATTCTGTGAGAAACAGCAGTATGCTAAGTGCATTTTGTTCCTAGATATGATGAATCTGTAGTGTCAGAATTAATGTTTTAATAGAAGTTTTCTGGAGTCTGCTACTCACACAAACTGACAAGCATCCCAGTGAAGCTGAAACTAAAAATATTTCCAGGTCCCTTATTCCTTTAGATGCCATTCAATTCTGGTTTCTAAGAACAGAGTGTTTGGGGAATAATCTAAGCTCTGAGAATGGCTTATATTTACACTTCATGGGGCAGGGCCAGTTTTCTTAAGTTTATATATTCATTTACTGTTTTTGAACCATATATCCAAAACTCAAAAACCGTTTAAAAACTAAAGTGATATAAAAAAACTATACATTGACAAATCTTCTATCTACTCCACATTTTACTTAGTTGTTTAACAAACACCTCTATAATACTTATTAAGTGCCCAGTACTGTCCTATGTATTTTGCAAGTGTTAACCCATTTATTTTTGGTGTCAGCCCTATTATGTAAGAATTCCTATAATTCCCATTTTATAGATAGGCCCAAAGAGGTTAATTGATTTGTAAATGGCAGAGACCAGACCCAGGCAGTCTGGCTCAAGTTAGGCTAGCTAGGTAAATGATTTAGTAGGTCCTATACTGTATATGCCTCTTGTGTAATTTTTTAAAATGCAAATGAATTCAAATATGAATAATTTTCTTAATTTTTTCCCTTTATCTACAAAAGAAAACAAACTTTATACAGTGCACCTTGTTTTTTTTTCACTTAACTGCATATTCTGGACATATTTTCATATCAGTATATAGAGAGCTTCTCATTCTTTTTGACAGCTGCATAGTATTAATAGTGTTATGTGAATGTGTCACAGTTTACTTAAACAGTCTCCTGTTAGTGGACACTTGGGTGACTTCCATTTTTCTGCAATTACAAATAGTGGTGGTAATAAACATATATACTTGTCATTCTTGGCAGGTGTCCCTGTAGTATAAATTCTTAGAAGTTGAACTGCCAAATCAAATATGAGTATGTATGTAGTATTGTTTATATATTGCCAAATTCCATGAGACTCTTACCATTTGTCATTCTGCTTCATTGTAGCCTCATCAACAGAAATGTTTAGGTTTTTGCTAGTCTGATAGGTGAAAAATGTTTTTTCAGTGTTAATTTTTGTTTATTATTTCATGATAAGATATGAATGAATTGGCTATCTTTTCATTTGTTGAAGGGCCATTTGAATTTCTTTTTGTGTGGATTGGCTTTCATGTTCTTTGCCCATTTTCTAGGGAGCTTTTAGTGTTTTATTTCTGTTAGAGATCTTCATTTTTATTTTATTGTGAATTCATACAGGAGGCCCTTTGTATCACTGACAGATTTTCTTTAACAATAAAAACACCACCACCCCTGCCTCCAGCTTTACCTTTGTGGTGACATGATAAGGGCTAGATCAGTTGTTCTCAATTAGCCAAACTCTCCGTAGGTGAAGAACATGAAAAAACAATTTTTCCCTGCTTATTATGCGGTAAGGAGGCAGCTATCTTTCTCCCTTTCTGAAACTGGAAACATTATGGACCTGATTCCTAACTATAACACTTTGGTCTGTAAGTAAGATCTCCCCAGAATTCAGATAGCTCTGTGTGTCTCACACCTAGAGATGTCTCCAGGTCCTGGGTCTCATCCCTTCATGAACTGTAAATACCTAGAAATAGTCTGCCCAGCACTTTTTACCCAGTACCTAGGTACCTGTCCCAGAATGTAACCTTTTGTCTTTGGGGAAGATAAGTTTTCTTATCCTTTTGGATCAGAGCAGTTAGCACTCTAATTTGGGGAAGAAATGGCTACAGATTTAATCCTGTAATATATGAAAATATTTTCTAGGAGAAATGAAAAGGTTCTCTAACTTTAAATACATTTTCATGTTGCAGGAGGCTTGGACTTTTGATAGGAACAATGAAAAATCCAAGAATGTTTTATTTTCCTACACATAGATGACATCATTTTTATCGTTTCTGCTGAATAAAGATATTGATACTATGCCTGGGGCATAGCAAATACTCCACAAATGATCCTCATTGTAATAATAATTATGCTTATTATTTTAAGATATTAAAAAATGCCTGTGTCCATGTTGCAGAAAGAATAAAATGGAAATTACTGTTATACTTATTTATTTCACTTGTGAAATGA